TTCCTGGGCTATTATTGCGCAGGGGGCGTTCGCTGCAGAAGCAGATGGGGAGATCCAAAGGTTAGTCTGGCCGAGCGTTAGCCTTTTGCTTCCAGCAGCCCAACTTGTGCTTCCTTGCCGGGAAGCTCGCAATTTGAATAAGGCAAATGGCAACTGCCCCTTCTTCTTGGCTATCCCCCTAGCAACTGGTCTTGGAGGGGCTACCGAGGCTGCCTCTGACTGAACCTGGAGGCCTTCATCATGATAGAGGAGCGTTTCTTCCAACTCCTTATGGTCCTGTTTTCTTTGACAGTCGGGGAGGCAGAGGTACACACACCTTCAAAGACTTTCAAATCAGGGAGACCGTTGATCAAAGCAGCAGTTTTGGGGAAGAAGCTGTAGGGGCAATCTGTACAGATTTATTGGTGAGACGACTTTTGGACACCAGCAGTGAGCTGGGCAAAGTCCAAAATGCTGTTCTATTCTGAGACCAATTTTCCCACCCCCTTCCGACACTTTCTGGTCTATTTTGTGCTATCTCACAATGCCTCCTCGGCAGCAGGCAAGAGTAGGTCTCTCTTGCTAAAGCTCTGAATTGCTTGCTTGCAGAGAGCCCTTAGGTAGGAGTATTGGTTGCACATCCCTGCCCCGAGATGGACAGGTTTAAGGGCATTGGGAAGAGCCAGAGAGAGCATTTAGAACAGATTTCAATAGGATTAGACATACAGACACACAAAATATATTATTTCCTTCCACAATAAAATTAGAAAGTCGAAGAATCATGCTGCATTTTGTTCTGGGGGTCCAGAGGCTACAGTTAACAACCTAACTAAGATGTGAAACTATGTGGACTATTCTTTTTTTCTGACGATTGGTCCCCCCCCCTTTTTTTTTTTCATTATTTGCCTATTCAAAAATTTAGAAGCAGTTGTAGAGTAGAATGACAGTGAATCAAGGGTCTTCAAAAAAAACCTTGTGGACTTCAACTCCCAGAAATCCTGAGCTAACATGACTGGAGGAGAAATCCTGGGAGTTGAAGTCCACAAGCCTTAAAGCTGTCAAGTTTGAAGACACTCCCCCCCCCCCATCTAAATCAACGTTTCTGAACCACAGTAACCTTAGGATGTGTGGACTTCAACTCCCAGAATTCCCCAGCTAAGCATGCTTGGCTGGGGAATTCTGGAAGTCAACGCCCACATTTCTTAAAAGTTGCTGAGGTTGAGAAACTCTGGTCTAAATTAACACAGATTGGCAATCTAAAGGAGAACCCCTAAAAGGATATAGCTCCTATAGATACTAGTATATTTGTACAACCAACAAATACCTGTGCTGTACATGAGTTTTGAAGACTTTTTAAAAATAAAATATAAACTTGATCTCTAATAATACTGCTTGGTTATTTACATCCCAGAGATATTCTTGGTATGGGAATGGTAAGAGAAATGCACCCAGGGGTTTGGTTTGCATAGCGCTCATGTGCCCAAAGGATGGTTGATGACAAGAGAGCATCCTAGGTTCTATATGGTTTGCTTTTTTATTTTGTGTTTAATCCCACCTTTAATTTTTTTTTTACAAAAAATTATGGGTTGAATACACCTAACCCTCCTCCCCATTTTCTCCACAACAATCCTGTGAGGTGGGTTGGGCTAAAAGAGAGTGACTGGCCCAAGTTCACCCAGTTGGCTTTCAGGCCTAAGTCTCCTGGTTTCTAGCCTGCTCTACACCTGCTGCCCTCAGATGACCGTACCAGGATACGGTCTCATTGCCAACCCTATTTCTTGCCTTTTGTATGGTTTGGCTGACTCTCTGTACTGACACAGGTCCTCTCTCAGCAGCCAGGACATACATAGCAGGAGAGCAGGCTAATGGCCTAATTTCAATTAGAAGGTACAGCAGAGGTTCTGCAAAAGGTAGCTCCAAGGACAGACTTAAATGTCACAAACTAGCATTTCCCCAAACCATGGACCATGGGCCATTACCAATCCTTGTAAACAACAAAGCAATTTAAGTGTGTGACTATAGCAATTGCATATTCAAGCTGAGAACTCTTGGGAATCCATATGGATTTGACAATGGTGATTTATCACATGATCTAGAACTTCATCTCTTGCCATTGCTGTTTGCTTCAATTGCCCTTTTAAATTAACTAATTAAATAAAGTTATATGGCCTCCACTTGCTTTAGTTCTTTTTTTTTAATCCCGTTTTCCTCCAGTAGAATTGTGCTGCAGGCCATTTCATGCTTCTGGTGTATTTACTGGATTTTTAAACTCAAATTGTTTTTAATTGTTTTATTTTACATGACTTTCAAAATCTTATTAGCTGTACCTTTTTGGGGGTGGGGGGGAATGGGGGCAACTGTTATTATTTGCTTCCATTTATTTTGGGTAGTTTGAGAGAAATACCTAAAGCATTTTCTGGATATAATTATGATGTCAGATTTTATAGTAATGTTGGAAACTAGGAACTGGAGGCTTATATAGCAGAAAGAAGATAACATCTTAAATGGAAACAGGACCCTATGATGTTAGAAAAACCGTTGCCATTAAAACACACTAAGGAACCAACTGAAAGATCTGCTAATCTTTTTTTTAATTCTGAAACCTCATATTTTATGGTGATTTTGAAGAAAGAAAATTAAACATACAGGGCATGGCGGTCAAAAAAGCCTACTGTATATTCCTCCACTACTTTATCATTGATTCAATAAAAGTCATAGGCATTGAAGGTCTTTATTGGGGCTGTTAAGAAATGATCATTCTTTTAAAGCAATACTGACAAAATGTGAGACAAGGATTGCCATTGTCAATCAGTCCATCATTTATAATGGCCGTAGACCATTATAGATTGCCAGTCATTTCCCACCATTGTTCCTTTGCAATTCTTCCCCCGCCCCCTTCTCATTTAGAGTTAGACCTGCAACAGCCTATTACAGTCTAGTGATTCTAATCAATCAGCCTGCCAGCCATGCCCTTTTACAGGTCCAATTTTATCATCTCTCCAATCTGTATTCTGTATGCTACTCAGATGTTGGGGTATTTTTTTTTATTTCCCCCGTCCCTTCTTTGTGTGACCCACAGATGAGAAATAGGAAAATTTATAAGCAAATAATTTGGATTCCTAAGAGAAAATCAAATGTAGAGAAAATAGCACCTGCATTGAAGAGTTGTTTTGTTTTGTTTTTTTACTACCAGATAACAGATGATTGCAACACTTTCCAGCCTGGACTCATTTCATCTTCAAAATAGTCCTCCGCTGATGAGATATGCATAGGTTAAAAAAATCAAATCAAATCAAGAAATAAAGAGGCATAAAGAAAATGCAGGGAGGTTTTGTCGGCACTGTATCTTTCAGCCCATGCCGTATAAAGCTATCTACATATAACCACTTTCCTCCTATTTCCCCCTTTCTCTGAATGAAGACGTTTAGTGAATTCTGCTTTGGATAAAAGATGTAGATTGTGTGTGAAAGTAGTGGAATATTTTTGTATTTTCTTTTCCAAAGCAAGGCACTTAACAGTGATTTCTCTGCCCAAGTCATTTCAATGCACTTAATAGTAGAACTGAGAATGGGTGATTTTTTTTTCTCTGTGAAAATTAATCAAAGCAGTGACTAACTAACAGAAAGAATTAGAGGGAATTTAGAGCTTGATATTAACTTGTAGGCACTGCTGAGATTCCACTAAATACACAAGCATAAGTTTAAATTCCCACTTAATGATTAAGCTTAATCTGAAAAGGGAGGGGAGGAGAGGGGGGGAAGAGAATCATATAATTCTCTTGAGCTCCCTGGAGGAAAGCCAGGAAGTACACATTCTAAACATACTTGCTTGGTTGCCTGCCTGCCTTGAATGAATGGTAATCCTATAATAACTGGATGGCAGCAGGTTAGGGAAATGATAGGATCAGTAGACAGTGACATCCTGGAAGAAATCAAGTCAAAGTGGGCATTAAGTCTTACCAACAAATTGTTGAATATTCTAGTGTACCACTAAGCAACATTCATCCCCTGAAGGGAGCTTGAAATATGGAATTAACTGGATCATGGATTGTTCATTTAGGAAACCAAACTGTTATACCTTTGATCTGATAGATTGTTCAGTGACTGTTCATAATGGTAAAATCTCATTGTAAGTATTAATCCTCTAGCAACAGTAACTTCAGTCTGTGTTCACAATAATTAAAAAAGCATACTGTGATAAACATTCTGAATAGTTCCATATAAATCTCACATTTTCATGGCATCTAGTGAGGAAAATATGAAATAGGATTATAGACCTACAGGGCTGACTTAAAAGACTATTTTTGAATGTTACTGAAAGACCTGAAGATACTGCAGTAAAACCTTAAAAGCTGCAGCATTAAAAAAGAAAAAAAAAGAATGATGCTTGAACAATTAAATTTGATGTTCTGTAACTGGTGCTGGTAAAATATTTTTATTATGCTGCAAGATGTTTGTAGTATCATTTTTTAAATTGTTTGTTAAAGGACACATTACATTTATATTTTACCAGCAAATTTCTTATTGGATTTATTCATCATTGAAAGAGAAAGCAAAGGTGAAACAGTTTATAGCAAAAAAGCTGAAAATCAGGGTGGAGGGCTAATTAAATTTAAACACTTTCTTCTAGTTATAGAATGTAAAGAACAGATATTGCCAAGTTATTAAGTCATTTAGACTATAGGGTTGCCATTTTTCTTTTTCCAGTAATTTACTTTTCTTACAATTTATAGAACATTTCATTAAATCTGTTTTTTGTAACATCTTGTTTATACAATGTCCATGAGAAAGAGATAAAAGGAAGTGGTATTAATACTGGAAATAGATAGTTCTATTTGAGCATTACAATAGCTACAGGCAATAGTGTTATATTTCTATGCAATTTCTTGGCTGAAAAAGTTACAAGTGTTTGTGATGCTTCAGTCTCCTGCAATCTTTTAAAAAAAACAAAAGCATTTATATTTTACATAAAATTGATACATATTAATCAAATTTTTGTTTGAGTGATCTGAAACTTTTTTTTATAAAATTGTGCCTTTTTAATCCTTACGTGCATATTAACTACTTGTAGAATTTTGTTTCTAGAAATACTCGTATTTTATCTATCCTTTATGATAACTATAAACGTGTTGGATGCTTGTGGGTCAAAAAAGATTCAGCAATTAAACCAAATCTACAAAGAAACTGATAATTATTTTTTCTCTTGCTCCAAAAATATGAATTATTATTTGAAAACTTATATAGAAACTAAGCTCCATCCCTCAATGTGATGTGCCATTGGGGCAGAGGAGCATTCTTGAAAGGGTCAAAGAAAGATAGCAATAGCACTTAGACTTATATACCACCTCATAGTACTTTACAACCCTAAGCGATTTACAAAGTCAGCATATTGTCCCCAGCAATCTGGGTCCAAGTTTTATCAACCTCGAAAGGATTGAACACTGGAGTTAACTTTGAGCCAATGACACTCGAACTGCTGGCAGTCAGCAGAATTAGCCTGCAGTATTGCGTTCCAACCACTGCACCATCATGGTATATATAAGTATATACCAAAAATATATAATTTCCTCAGGATCACCTAAGATATGAAGGTCTACATTGTTGCTAAGAGTTGACACAAACTAATGGCCCATAATAAATCAAAACTAAAAGTTGAACAAAGCAAGAACAAATCTCTACAGCACTTAATATTTGTTGAAATTTGTACCTAGGGATGAAAAGTTAGTAATCATAAATACTCAAATTTAAAAATGTACATAAGTATTTAAAATGGCAAGCTCCCTCTGTGATTTGCAGAAATTGAGTAACAAACTGCATCATATAGTAAAAAATCTTGTCCCAACATTAAGAACACCAAAATCAAGTCTCACTGATCAATGCTACAATCTGGACAGGAATAGATTCTCAGCTCTGCTCAACTCTATTTAACTCTATTCCAGAAAAACTGGCTGTCCAGACAATTTCCCATGAACTTTATTCAACATGGCTAATGAACAGCATAAAAGGTCATTGCAGATGAAACTATATTCAAAATTGATGGTACTGTATACTGAGTTTTAAAAAAAAGAGTTTATAAGGGAAGTTCAGTTCTGAAAATGTGACTATTCTACTAGTTACAATTGGCACAGATGTCAACTTGCCAGTAGCTACACATTTGGCTACTTTGGAATCTTGGACTTTTTCTTCATTTCTGATCAAGGAGATGAAAACCAATTTTACTATCACATTTCTATCAATTATATTTTCAATGGTTGGTGAAAGCCAGACTGTATTAATATGGATGTACACAAATACATTAAAGCTCACTGCCATACTTCATAAGTAGTTACCAAACATATTACTAGATTGAGCTCCAGAGAGTAACACTTTTTTGTTAGGAGATATTTGTTGACTTTCTACAACTTAGCATCTTCCAAGTGAGTTGTATTATAGTTCCCACCATCTTCGGTAAGCTGGCTGAGGGAAACAATATTGGTAAGATCCTAACACAACCTGATGATACCAGGCTGTCAGCTGCCGATCAGTATAAACATTCACTTTACACATGGTAGAAAAAAGAAACATATGCAATGGTAACTTTTTCAAAATAGTTTAGTTCACTGTTATAAGACATTCTGTACTGTGACACCATTAAATCAATGACAGGTAGCTTTGTGGGGAGTTTAAATTATCTGTGATGGATTAATCAATTGACTTTTGAAACAGATAACTCTTCATTTTAATAATTCTCATTCAAATATGCACAATGTTCAATACCACATAAAAAGGGATTACTTTGTAGCAAGTAAATGCCAAACACAGAAAGTATCTATATACCATTTGGATAAGCATGTTAATGGTATAACTGTCTTTTGTCTTAGGCATTTTGGCCCTTCCTTCTAGTTTGTCTGGATTCTGGCCTTAAGGTCTTGTTCATTTTTTTCTTCAGAATTTGGTAATTTTAGTTCAATCATAGTTTAATTCAAAATAACAGAATCCAAAAATATATTAACTTTGGTCAAGAAAATGATTATAAAATTTATCTTACAAACAAAAAGATAAAACTCAGACTGTACAACCATCAACTGAGTGAACTATGTGCCATATTATAATACATTATTGCACAGAAATTCCATAATGAACTCAGTTTAATACTGATACATTCTTTTATGATAAATTCTACATTTCAACAGTAAGAATACTTAAAACTGCAATAAAATTTGTATTTTTAACTCTTATAAATATAAGATACAGTTCCTAAACTGTACCTAATATTTACAAGAGGAATAGTATTATAGTGCCATCCAGATGTCTTGGAGTACAATTTCCACTAACTCTTGACAATAATCATGCTATTTGGAATTGTTAAACACTATAGATCAAAACATTTGGAAGTTTCTAGGTTGCCTGTTGATAATTTACATAATTGTATATTCTGTACACAGCGGGTGATCATTTTGCTGATCCAGTCCAGGTTCTGAGAAAGATGTTATATGAATCGGTCCTTAATCACATGTTTAAAATTTTGAAGCTCATATTAAAGTCTAATATTGTTAGTAAGGCATAATATGGCAGATGCCCAAGAAAAACAAAAATAATTTCTTATAAATCAGTTCTTTGCAATTGAGAAATCTTTCTATGCAGGAACTACCAATGAAGATGGATAATAGATCTTCACAGTTTCATCCCAAGCGCAGTCAGCCACCTATGGAGAACAAATACGTTTTAGGACAAGAAATAATATGCAATCATAAAATATTCATGTAATATAATTTATATGTTTGTAGTGGTAATTTTATCCTTGCTATACTATTAAGTATAAAGCCAACATACATAAATAAAGTTTAAAACAATTTTGGATAAATAACAAAATTGCATTCTAAATATTATCATTTATGTAAATTAAATATTTAGATAAATATTTCAAACTAACTATATATTTAAATATTTAAAACTAAAAGTAACTAACCATAAATAAACTTAACTTTACACTGTCAAGGTGGTCCAAAAGAATTAAAAAATTAATTTAAGTTTACTTAGGTGAGACATACTGAATACTAAAGAATTCAGAAGATTTTTCCACAAATTGATTTCATTATTTTTATAGTACATAGCAATGATTTAATCGTTTTTATTATATCAGTGGACTTTTAACAGTTTGTAAATATATTTAATAATATTTTAAAATAAATAAAAATAAATAAAGCTCACAATTTATATTAAATTATTCCAAAGTAAGTTAGAATTGGCTTCAGGAAAAATATACTGCTTAAAAAGAGCATAAAATGCATTAAATCTGGTAATGCAATTAAGCCTCTGTAGCAAAGAATTAAAATATAATAACATATAAGATACATAGATATATCACAACAAATGGAGGAGCATATAAGTTAGATTTTTTTAAAACCTTTGTGGTGTGATCAGTTTAATTATAACTTAACTATAAATAGTTCTATACGTGTCAAAAGATATTTCAACATGTTAATTCAACATTAACAAAACCTGCAATAATTGTAGCCATACATTATATTACTCTAAACCCAAACTAGCCTCCCACTTTATTTACTCCATTTTCAAAAGTACAAAACAAAGACTTTATTTTCACTCAACTTCTGTTCAATTTGTTGCAGTTTGCTGAGAAAAAAGGTTCACTATTAAAACATATAATAACTCTGTGATGCAGCCTATCCAACTTTCTATTCATGATTTCTTTTCCCTGATAGCTCTATAATGATCACCCACAGTAGACTACACCAGTAGACAGCGTATTTAGAGTTCACAAAACAAACACTCAACAACCATAAATAAAATACCATCTGCAAAATCCCTGGGGACTTCTCACCTGAGATTAGTGTCACATAGCAATTTTTGAATATTAAGTATAGTAGTCATTATTTCAACCAATCTTAGATAAAGCAAACACAATTTACACAAGCTAGGCTGCTGAAAACCTTTTGCTTAATTCAGTCCAGATCTATTACCAACAGAAAAAATATAAATGTAACTGGGGGAAAAGCAAATAAAAGATAAATTACTTTGATAAATTATGTTACTATTCTGTGAACTCTTGAAATGTAATCATCAACCAATCCTTAGAAGATTGCTTTTTTTTCTGTTCAACTGTGCCCACTCTTCGGAGACTAGAGACAAGTCTCTGCAATTTTTCTGAAGAGGTTTGCCACTGTCTCATTCCTCGAGGTTGGGAGAAAATGACAGGCCCAAACTCACCCAGCTGGCTTTGTGCCCAAGGCAGGGCCAGTACTCATGGTTTCCTAGTTTCCAGCCTGATGCTTTAACCACTATATCAATTGGCTCTCATGGAAAATTGATTTGAAAGATCCCTAAAAGCTTTTATGTTGCACATATAGCATGAAACCTGGATTTTACTAATCATCTTTAAACATGAATACACCATTTAATTTAGATTATGTTATCAGGTGTCCTAATTCAAACTTAATATTTGTCATTATATTAGCAAAACTACCTGGATCTAACATATTTGATAAACACACATTTCCTTTTGCATGTGAGAGAAATACAGACTTACAGCTTCCATTTCAAATCATGAATTGGAGAATGAAAGCAGAAGCAGAACATAGACTTTGGAAAAACTTCCCTTCATTCTGAAAAATACTTGAGGACAACCAGAGCTATACAAACATATGCTTCTGGTACTGATGTCCATCAGCCATAAAATATGATTACGCACTATTTTCTGCTATGTAGTCTATAGCTACTTTTCTTTGTCTGATTAGAATAAATTACTTTACTTGAAGTATGGATTGAGGATTTTGGGGCTGTTTCAGTTATGTTTAATTTGTTTCATTTTGATGGAACTTATTTATGACTAACTTTAGTTAGCAGTGTTAATACTTGAATAGTAAGGGCAAACGATGGTTCAGCAGGTTTACAAATAAAATAAATTCAGAACAACAAAACACAGTGGTTAGATCACATAGGTATGTCCAAACAAATAAAGAAACAATAATATTTCTCATCCAATGTACTGATGCAAAGGTTGGATCCCCTTCCATACACTAAACCACAAATACAATGTATTTCAGCACCATTACTGTATAACTTTGTTTATCTACAAACCAGCCTTCAAGCCCTTCAGCAGGTAGGAAGGATGTGATTAGAAGGTAGGCAGTTACAGCAAAGAGAGTAATTAAGCCATTATATGATTTAACTATGTGAATTTCTAAATAACATTCAGAATTTATAATTACTAATCAGCTGTTAAAAGGTTTAAAAACTGATTAATAAATTGCTTATGTTTCAGAAATTGTGGTTTGCTTAACAAATTATTACAAATTAATTGACTTTGCATTGCATAATTACAATGCATCAGGGTTTTAACTGATCAGCATGTTATATATGGGCTATCATAAATCTATTTTATTTCTATTTTTTAAAATTAGGTATCACAGGAACATGTTAAATTAAGCACTACTACCTAAGTTTTGCAGAGCTTTCCATAGATATCTTCTCATATACTGTGATTCTATAAATTGCTTTTGTTTTGCTTCAAGGGCTGTTTAGTATAGCTTTGCATATGTACCATAGTGCAAATGCAGCCTTGGTTGTGAATGGAGCTAATTTAAGTAGATTTAGTATTATTGTGAAAAGTGGCAAAATTACATCTTCAACTTTCTTCAGTTATAATTTCTACATGTTTTTCTAAGACAATTGTGAAGTATGTCAGTAGACATATATTTTAAATTATAGTTAAATTTTGGCTTTTATATATTTGTTTTAACCCACATTAAAGACTTGGGGAGCCATACATTCCTCAGAGTAAAGCAGCCTATAAAGTCCTGCAGTTAAATAGAGTTGTAATTAAAATATACCCAACATAACTGCAGCTCTTACTCTTCGTGTGTGTGAGAGAGAGGGCGGGGGAGGGGAGATTGAGATTCTCCAAGACTGCTGATTGCTTAACATGCACAAGTAATACCATTTTGACTTTATAAGTTTCTTTCTCAAATTGCTCTTCATGTAAAATAAACAAAAGCTTGCCCAAGGCTAAAAGCGGTAAAGAGTTTAAACCCAATGAGATGTAGATACATTAATTTTATTCCTCATATCACTCACTGAACAAAAGCAACAAGAAAGGTCCTAAAAATGAGTATGACATATTTTGTAATGCTCTGTTATTTCATCTTTTTTTGCATCCTTGACTATGAAACAAAAGAGTAAGAACCACAACTAATTAAACAGATAATACCTTTGTACATTTCCTGGAATGATTTCTCATCCTATCAAGTAAGATAATATAATAAAAAAACCTACCAGTAAAAAGCTTAAAGGGAAGCTCATAGAGCAGTAGAAAGCAGAAGAGTGGTTGCTCACTTCAAGGCTGAATGTTACTACACAAAGAGATGCAGTACGCTTTGTCACAGAACCTTCAACCTTTGGAACAGGTAGTTCCAATCACAGAACAGGTCACTTGAGTTTCCCAGAAATGGTTAAATAGTGAAAGATGCCATTCTGAGAATGCTCAGAAGACAAGACCAACCCACTTCAAAGATGGACCACTTCCAAAATATTTGCAACAACCAAAATCAGAATAATCTATTTTAGGGTCAGAATGTTCTATGGCAGGGCTTCATATATACCTCTATTACTGGGTTATGGCAACCACCCAGCAAATTTGTTTGCAACAAATGAATTAAGCTTCCCTTCCCTCCTCCAAAAACAAGGAATATGAATCAGGTAAGTATACCTAATGACAAAGACTATTCTCCTACGTTCAGTTTTAATTATGATGAAAATTCTTTAATTTCTGTTAATTAATAAGGCTAGTTTTCATTAGCCAGTTAAGTTAGTTCCCTAATAGATCCTCAGTTGGTTAATTAACTTATAGTTTTACTTTGTTGGTCAAAGCCGTTTCTAGTAGTAGAGATGACCAACTTTGGGATTGAAAAAGGAGAGAATAAAAATCTGTTAGATGTTGGTGATATTGATTCATTTTTTTCAATGGAAAAAAGTTTAGCATCTATAAACATGTCCTAAACTCATTATATCTTTTTATATCTATTAAATTTTGAATAGCTATTCTTGTGGGACACATGTGACCAAGGAATGGCTACACTGAGAAAGGAAAGGAAAGAGAAATAAGAAAAAAAAAAAAACAAGATGAGGATGGGGTTAGGTGGAAAATAAACAAGATAGGGAAGAGAAGAGAAAGGTGTACAGAGAGTGATATTGTTTACAAGATATAACCAGGGGTGGGATTCTAGTGGTTCGGCCCAGTGAGAGAACCAGTTTGCTCCGACAATCAGCTGTTGGGCCCACCCTCTTGCCCCAGCTCTAGTCTGTCTTTATATGCTGGTTTTCAAGCAGCACAGTGGATTGCCATGGGTCAGCTGCTTAACACACAGAGATTGCTGAAGAAGGTCGCGCTCACAGAACCAGTTGTTACACTGGTTGAATCATACCCCTGGATATAACAGGTTTTTTTAACCTTGTGAACTTTAAAGAGTGCTGACCGGAGGAATTCTAGGGATTGAAGTTCACAAAATTGAGAAAGATAGATTAAAAATATATAGGAGGTGCTTTATCTTTGTGCTTCAAACCTATATTTTTAAAATGCCCTAGTGAAAGCAAAAGTTTCCTCTTTTGAATAAAATCTGTTCCCTTTAAACAATGGCTGTCTTTATTCTGCAAATATACAGTAAAACCATCTTCCTTCCCACTTCAAAAGTCCACAATTTGGTAAAAGCTCATCTCCTTTAGATGGATACAAAGTTAAAAGGTACTAAAACCTATTAAAAGGCTTCACATTGCTGTTAAAAAGTTCTGCAGCATTCACATATTCTGAAAGTTCTGATTTTCAGTTTACAAATACCATCAGTTTAATTTCAGCTTCACTAACAAAGGCTCATCTCAAAATGATCTTTCAAGCAGGGTTGGAGAATGAAATATTGCAGGTAACTCACCACTTACTGGTAGGACTGCAGATTTGCTCTTTACTAGGACCAATCACTGCCATAGGAAAAGAATTGCAATGCAAAGAATCTAATCTGTAACTTAAGTTTTAATCTCAAAGAAACTTTTTGACAATATGATTTGCAAACAGTAACATATGTATACAGCATTTGTAAGTATCTCATCCTTCAGTGCTTAAGAAAAAAAATTCTTACTATGTTTTCCTTTTAAGAAATGGCAACATTAAAATTAAGAAAGCTGAACTATAATTCATACTTCAAAGAACTTTCACAATGTTCTTTCTGCCTATTCAAAGCACCTAATCCTGTTTTCAGGCAGACAAGTGCTATAGAAAAAGTCTTGCTCAGCAGAAAGCTTTCATTTACATATGTGAGCCTAGCACTGGTAAGTGTGGAAGTCTTGATGATAACTAGGCATAGAAATAGAGAAAAGAACCTCAGACTGTCATTTCTTTCTTCATGTTCGAGTTGAACACTATCTAGCCTTATTACTCAAGCAGACCCAAAATACCCTAATCTCAAGACCTTTGTGCCTTGAGCAATACTTCCTCACTTCTTTATATCTTCAAAGTAATATATTCAATCAAGTAAAGAAATGAATTTGGCATTAAAGCAAGAGCTGGAACTTTTCAACCATTCAATTTAGATGAGTAAAATTATGCTATATAAAAATTCAAATGATGTTTCAGTAGGTAGTAGCAAAATGTTTGTAAGAAAAAAAAATTCAGAAGAGTGGTACCTCCCAAATATGATTTAAAAATATGCTAGTGGCCTTATTTTTAATGAGAGCTTGAAAGTACCCTGCCCCTTACATGTTCTCAACAAATGTGTGAACTTTTAAATACCTATATATTTGATCAACACAGAAGACATTGGAGAAAGGGGGGGGGGAACCAAACTTTGAGATATTCGAACACAGAAGTCCTAAATCTGATTGAAATTTAAAATGGAGGAGAAATTTAAAAGGAGATTGATCTTTTCCAAACTAACGAGTATGTACATAACTGTGTACAATTATATTTTATTGAGATAATTAATGCAGTCAGTTTAGTACAATATATTGACATCAAGTATATTATGTGTCTAGGTGTTTACCACCCTATTTAAAAAAAAGAAGTGACTTTGTGAACTAGCCACAACTTTTGTAGTTCTGTTTTAAGGAATTCTCAGCACGGTGCACTACTAAATATCAACAGCATGGTTATATGAAGTTTAAGTTTGCCACTAATTATACTATTTTTAACAGCAAAATACCCTATGTATAAGCCCTCATTTCCTTATCTACTTTCATTCCCATTAATATTCATCCCTTAACCATAGAAAGGCTGTCAACCTTTGTTCTAAAATGTTAACTGATACTAATATTTATGAACAGCGTGTAGATTTAAAAATTTAGTAGAGATTAGTTTAGGGGATTGTCGAAAACAAATATTGTAAAACCCATTATTTTCTGATCTGATCTATCCCCTGATACAGTGTGTTTAATGTAATTTACTTGGGGGGGGGGGCTTTGACATACTTGAAATATAGGTGATTCAGTATTTTTCATTTTGCTGATCCCATTATTTTACTACAGCCTCAAGAATGTTTGTATTACTGGCACAATAAATAGAATGTGAATTCATTTTTTCCTCTTACATTTAGTGATGGCTAACAAACCTGCAGGGAACATAATCTGATAAATGCTTGCATTTCTTTCAAGGTACAATTGTTCATGGAACTGATATTACATCTGTTCCATAAAACAAGTTAAGAGACAAACACTATTTTCTGAGAACACCATTAAAATATATAATACATCGGTCAACATTTAAAAAAAACATATTAGCAGTTAAGCGTGGGATGAAGTCAAAGAAATGGCTTCATAATGAGAATGACAGCAGCTCATTTTTCAGCCAATTAAAGCTGAAGGACCAGAATACGCTGCTGAATGGCACAAGCTGTGGTACAAGAGTATGAAGGGAAAGGAGAGAAGCAGCTGAATACTTGGGGGGGGGGATTCTTTTCACCCATGGAGCAGGTTATGACCTAGGCCAATTGGCAGACCCCTCTTTTGTGGGGATGGGTTTTTCTAGGGGAAGGGAAGATTCAGGTTACAAATGAATCCAACCCAGTGTTAAAATATTCTTAATGGACTTTTTTTACAGCACCCATTCTTATGAAAACAGGAGAACTCAATAAGAAGATCTTAATATAAAAACAGCAGAGATGTATTTATTTAGTTTCATAAGCAAATGATTGTTCTCCTGGGTGGTGGCACTGTTCCTAAACATGATATGTTCTACTGATTTTTATTTATAACTTTTATTTAATTAACTAGTTTGCTGCCTCAATCACAAATACAACCTGTTATCTTTAAACTATCTAACCACCCAACCAAGAAGACTTGGATAATGTTTTTCAAAAGCAGATTACAAAATTTTCAGAAAGGCTGAAAATACTAAATGGGTGCGTTTAATTATAAAAGAAAACATGGGAGCAGTATGTTGTCTTTTAGAGTAGAATTTCATGAATTAAGATCATTAAGTTTTAATCAAATGTTAATTTTCTTTAAGAAATTATATCTTCAAAATAAACTAATAATTACAGTAGGCATTTTTTACTTGCACACTTTTAAATTTACATAAATTTGGATCCAAATTCTGCTAAGTTTACTCCTCCTAGAAGTCCCTGATCTGCTTTGTCAATTTTCTTCTTCTTCAAGGAATGCTAAAATGAAAGAAGGTCATGTTCACCTGATTTCAGAATAACTAACCAGGTAGACTTAATTGAGGAAATGAAAAAACTAAGAATGCCAGGAGAAAATAATCCTGTAATGTTGGAAAGCATCTTGATATTAAATGATATTTTTTAAAAAGCTATAATTAAGTAATTTATTTATATTTCAAGAAATCATATTTAATTAACTCAGAACATGTTAGGTAAAATACATTGATAATAGAAGCTGATGCAGAAGTGAGCCCAATAAAAATGGGATCTTTAAAAAGATACAGCAAAACCTCAATGTAACAAACCATTTGGAGACAGGCTTATCTGATTCTACTACCTATCTCAAATCTGAATTAATGTTATTGTGTTAACTTATATCATTTTTGTCACAACTGTAGGTATGCGTGAAAATGAAATAAATCAATGTAAAATTTGTAACTAACATTTTTCTACCTATCATTATGTAAACTGATGAAAATAATAAATTTAATTAATCACCTAGACTATTTGGGATACAAAATAGATTTATTATTTTGTGGAAACATCGTGACATAAATGTTGTCCATCTACCAAAATCTGGTAACTAGTTTTACTCTATGAAAAACATCACTGGAAGCAATTCTAATGAGAAATGCTTAGTGAAAATTTGAAAGTCACAAAGGACATGTAGAGGAGTTGGAAAGAGACATAAATCACTAAAATACATACAGTAGTCTGAATTGTAGAAATAGTATCAGAAAAGCCAATCTTTAGAATCAGCTGAAATTAATAAAGGATGCCAAGAATGACAAGACCTTTGAATCTCCAAGAAAAGGAAAGGAATTAAATAAAAGTAAAAAAATTCATCTATAAAAGGGAAAATAAATAAATACTTCAGCACTCAATGAAAATGACAAAAAGTAGCAATCAAAAAGAAAAGACACAATTATCTATTTTTTTTAGCTCAGTTGTCTCCACAAGGATATGCAATTGATGCTAAATGAGTTAAAATCTTTAGGGCCATATGGATTGCTGACTGACAGTTGATTACAGGAATTTGTTGCTGGTTGATTCTATTGTTTTATTTTTGCACATTCTTACTTAAAATTGCAGGTTTCAAAAGAGCTGCTACACATAATGGGTTTACATTCACATAAAACAAAATTGAGTTCTCTTATTTTCTTACCTGACCCGAATCATGCAAACTTAAATCTAGGCCACAAGTAAACTCCGTATGATGCTCCACAGTTTCAAGCAGAGGGTCAGGCTTGGAGAAATCCCAAAATCTATAGATGAAAGCAAGAATGCAATTATGGTAATTGAAAGGCCACTGATGGCATGCTTGAAACTGCCAGATGCTTTTAAAAACCAAACCCATCTACTTTAACAACATAATTAATCCTATTGCCACAGGTCTCTTCCTTCATCTGCATAAATGAGACTTTCATTATGAAATTTATTAAGAAAGCATTTCCTTCAGTTCAGTATGGAAATTTTGGTCAAAAAAGCTGGCATAATTATCTTCCATTGGGACAATCTGCAAAACAATAATGTGAAGATTGTTTATTCTGTAAACAATCTGTATATGACAATTTATATGTGTTGTCAGACCATCAGTCTGACAGTTAACTATTACTGAGAGTTTGTCTCTCAGATAAATACATTTCATATTTCAAGTTCTCTTCCCCCGTTCCTCCTCCTCTGGAGATATCAAAAATTAAATAAGAACATTGAATTTGGCTCTTCCTCATATTTTGTCAAAGGTGTTGATTTATTTCAGTAATTTAAGGCGGCAGAGGAATCTATTTGAATATCAGTATTTGGATACTGGCCAGCTGACAATATATAAGGGATGGAATAGTTTACTAGGAGGAACATAATAGCATGATTTATCCCTTGAGGAATTCATTGATCTTGCAAAGCCAAAAAAGCAACCAAACGCATTACAATTTAGTGTAATGTACATTTGATTCTTTACCTCTGAAATTTCAAAAAGCAACCTTCTTTTTCCTTCTTGTACATGAGTCAATGCATTATTCTAGACAGATTTTAGATAAAAGACTTCCCACATGCATAAATAAACTTTCTTCAAAAACTCTCTCAAGGTATCCAAATTGGTATGTCAGATGAATAGTGCCCAAATGAAAAACTTCCTATATTCTGAAGATTAGAAATGCATACTCCATTATCAACATGTAGATATTTTTTCCATACTAAAAAGACAAATTTGTATACAGAACTCTTTGTTAGTCAACTATATTAAAACAGGACAACTTACTCTCCTATAAGCTAAAGCTGACGAAGGACATTTACAGACATTTTGCCCTACTTGACACACTATGACATTGGGAGCAGATATGCAATAAGAAAATCATGTAAACAAAGACATCTAACTTAGGGGATACTTGAAGGTAAATTCTTATCTTCCATCAGAGAGAAATGGGCAGAGAACCTTCAGGAGAAATGGTCTACAAGGACCTCTTTGTTCTACCTTATGATGTAGAAGGCCCAATTTCTTTAACTATGCATTCTCAATTTTTTAAAGAAAATTCTTCACAGTTTTAAAGTACTTTGCTTATTGAAAGTTACTGAAAGTTAAAATACAAAGCTATATTTTAACCGTAGCATAGGTGGTCTTTGACTTACGAGTTTGCGTAATGACCTGTTCAAAGTTAAAATGGCACTGAAAAAAGTGACTTTGTATTTTTCACACAACCAATGCAGCATGATCAAAATTCAGATGCTTCGCAACCGACTCATATTTATGATGGTTGCAGTGTCCCGGGATCATGTGATCATCTTTTCTGATCCTCTGACAAGCAAAGTTAATGGGGAGGTCAGATTCATTTAACAACCTTGGCAAGCAAGGTCATAAAATGGGAGCAAAACTCACTTTACAAATGTCTCACTTAACAATATAAATTTTGAGCTCAATTGTAGTCGTTAAGTCGAGGACTCCCTGTATTACATTCTTCTTTAACATGTTTGCTTTAAAATACTTATACAATACAAAAAGTCTCTACTGCAATACTTAAAAACTAGCTTGTATTTAATATAATTTTCAGTTATTTCTGTTGGGATAACATCTTTCTCTTGACTTTACCCAATTATACACTATAAATATATTTCCACTACCACTCGTTTTATCCTCTCATTTCAACCTCTCCTTGGGTCCCTTTGTATCCTTTACTGTATAGATGTCATGACTACAAAGAGTAATGCATAATGCTATTCATATGCTGTAGGTTTTGCTACTGAAGTGGCTATCAAGAAGGAGTAAAAACCATTCAACTACAAAAAAAAAAATCGACATAGGAACAACTCAGGTGTACAGCAAACACTAGAGGCCACACAATTAAGTTTGTTTAAGCTTACTTGATTAAATTTTCTGCAAATTACCTGGCTAGAATGATGGCTACACAATGGACGTGCTATGGCAACAGCCCTCTTTAGAGACTCCTCATACTAGAGAGCAGACGAAATTTATAGTTTCCCAATAAGCTAATTTTCAAAGAGAAGCAAATGAAGGTCAACAGCCTCCTTCAATTTACCTATGAATGTTTTGTAGTATAGTTTGCTAAATATTCTCACAAGGAAGACAGTTTTGCTATTTATATACAACATCTGCACTACTAAAACTCCTGTTTCATGATCTTTACATGGGAAATATGGTGCATCCTAGGACCATAGTTTTTGAATCTAGGTACCTCAAACGGACTAACTTATAGAATGTGTACAAAATCTGGATCCCATGATTCCCAAAAGCATGACATTTGGAAAGCTGTGGCTGATTCAGGGCTACTGGTTGCTGCTGCAGCCACATTATCTTTTATTTTTAATGTTCTGTAACAGTTTCTCAGCCAGTCTGGAATCCCACACTCACTCCCCACCCCACAATGCAGAAGCAAGGAATTAATTCATCATGTGGCTTTTCAAAAAACAATAACTTTAAGGTTCATGAAGGAAAACCTGGATATTTTTATTCCTTTATGTGTCCCTTCTCTAGTACATAAACATACACATACAAATATTTATATATCTATTGCATTTGTTAGTTTGTTTATATCCCACCTTTATTATTTTTACAAATAACTGCAGGCAGCTAACATCTTTGTCATCCTATATTTCCCACACAACAACAACCCTGTGAGGTGAAGTGGGCTGAGAGAGAGTAACTGGTCCATGATTTCTTATATGGCTTTCATGACCAAGGCAGTACTTGAACTCCTGGTCTCCTGCATTCTAGCCTAGTGCCTTAACCTCTTAGATCAAACTGGCTCTCATCTTTGTTCAAGAACTCAAGGCACATACATAGTGGTCCATCCTACTATATTTCTTCACAACAACACTGTGAGGTAGGTTGGGCTGAAAATCACAAAGTGATCTGCTATGGTTGCAGATGGGAGGACAAAATGTGTCTCTCTGGCATCAAATACATTAGCTACTATAACAGTTCTTGCCCATCCCTGTCTTCTTACAATTAACAGTGAAGCTAGCAAGACTCTAAATTGTTCTGAAGTGAGAATCTCAAAGTACAACTTTGTGGTTAAAATATATTTTTTGCATAATTATGTCAGGTGGAAAGACAAGAGGGTCATGATGGTCAAGAGATAATACTAAACATTGTTGGAATATAGCAAAGAGGAAAGATGGACATTAGAAAACAATATTCAAATATTAAATCTACAGTATTTCAGTGACTGATAATTCAATTTTTCTTTTTTGGAAGATATATAATTCTATTACTACTCATTAGCTATTATTAAGTAGAGTGCAGGTAGTAGTTGAGGAATCCATTAAGAAATGGCAAATTATGCGTTATTCATTATGTTTTCACATTGAAAGAAGCACATTTGATTTTTACATGCTTCAGCTAAGCATCTACTTATTAAGTTGATTTCCTTTAACAGTTCTTAAATCAGAAAATTAAAATGTATTTGATTGGAAAAATGAAAACTAAGTTAAAAGTTAGGAATATATTTAAACATTATGCATTACTAAAGAAGTACAGTATCAAAAGTGCAATTTTTGTAACTATATTTCATAAAATGCAGAACCGAAAAGGGTACAGAAAGGAAGCAAAATTATCAGTTATCTGCAGAATTCTTTTCCTGAAAAAAAGATATAGTATTTAGAGCTCTTTTTGTCTATCTGCCTATTATTTCTGCTGTTTGCTGTTTCAACTTTGCAAAATGGTGCATCATAGGGCAACAATATTTTTAATCAACACACCTCAAAAGGGCAAACTTAAAGAATGCATCCAAAATAGAAGATTCATTATTCCCATGGCATTGAAATTTGGCTAAATTGTGGCTGCTTTAGTGCCATAATCGTCATTTCTAACACTGTCTGCCAGCTTTTCATAAGGAAAGTTAACGAGGGAGCTGGCAAGAAGTTGGAAGTCACTCCCACTCTCACTGCTTTTTTGCCCTGCTTTGTTTCCCTGTTTAGATAAGGAAATATCTTTGAAACAACCTAACGAGTCATGTGTTGTCTAGTCTATATACTACTAAAACTCTCATGTCTCTTTGCCTGTTTGTAACCTTCAATTGGGCAAAAAGGTACATTGTTGGGCAACAATTTTTGAATCAAGTTACCTCAAATGGGCTACCTACAAGTGGTGTGAAGATTCTTGAAATGTCAATTACATAGGAGTAATGGGTTCCAAAATTTGGATTCATTTAAACATACATTCCTCTTGATTTAGTCTGGAAATGAAATCCCTCGATATCCAGCCAATCAATATTTGAACTGAAAGAACTTCATGGGTGTCAGCCTCCCTGTGCTGCTGAAGGCATCCATGAAGCAACATTTGAGCCTCTGTGTTTATCTGTGTAACCTTTGATTTCTTGAAAGCTCTCTGCAACTAAATCCTTTCTCACTTTTAGTCATCTAATTATAAATCAGAGCTCCATTTATTTGAGTCACAGAGACTTATGATGATATAAGCGGAAAAATCCCTATTGCAAATCACAGAATCTCAGTGTATCTTTCTTGAAAACTTCCCTAATTCAAGAGCCCATCAGAAATCTGTGTTTTCTTAGAAGGTGATCATCTAAGATATAAAATAACTTAAGATACTTAGAAGGTGCCCAACTGAGATATACAGTTATTTTAAATTGTTATAATAAAGTTTAGCCTTTCAGAACTGTAGGACTGCAAAGCAAATTTTGGTGTCAAATAGCAAAATATAACATCGAATATAAAGATTTACCTAGATTCATTACCTATTTATGTGGCACCTACTAAAGTGGCACTTTCAGTATCACAGGTTCAGCCTTAAAAT